AAGGATAACTGGGGAAGAGAGATGAATGGATGTCTCAGAATGGTCCCAGATTGTGAGGGCTTCTATTTCTCATGTAAGTGATGATGATCCAGAAGGGAATCCTCACAAGAAGATGGGCAAACCCATCCTCTAGAGATGTCATTTAGTTTCTTTACCTAGTGCTTGCTCATGAGCCCACGGACAGAGTGGACACGTGGAAAGGAGGCAGGCTATTTATTGGCTCAGCACTCTCATCGACTGCTGAGAGCTTAATACATCAAAAGGAGACCAATACTGACCCCATGATTATGCATCGTTCACCTGGGGAACCAGTCAGCCACCTGGCTGATTATACTGAACTTTTTCCATCTTAGAAGGGACAGAGATTAGTTCTCAGTAGATGAGATAATGAATTTGCTTTCCCTATGTTTCTGCCAGCAACACCATCAATGGCCTCCCACAACATCCTGTCTGTTATCATGGCATTTCCCAGAGCACCAGTTTGGATCAGTGAGTCCCATAGCTCCCTTCATAGTAATGGGGCCATGGCCACAAAGTCAACTGGTCTTACCATGTATGCCGTTACCTTGAAGCACCGGGCATATCTGAAAGGTGGGATGGACTAAGAAAGACTCAGTTCTCAGGTCAATTGGCAGTCAAGGCCCTGAAATGGTGGAGTGTTGTCTTTGCCTCAGAGCCCCAGTTGATGGGTTTTGGAACCAATAGGCAAAGGTGGCTTGCCTCACTATGAAACCCAATAATTCATGGAATTTTGTTTCTTTCTAATTATCTTGATCTCTGCTTATTTTGAGGCATTTGTTTTCTAGCAGATCATCAGGGAACATACCAGAGGCTGCTCCAGGAAGGGAAACCAAATGAGTGAGGCTCTCTGCCAGATCCTATAGAGAAGAAAAAAAATGTAACTGACCTGCCTGGAGAACCCACGAGAAGGACAACCTCTGGAAGGGGCTTCAGGAAAATCCGTTTCGGGTAAGAATGGAAAAGCTTTGATTCTGTGAAGCTTCTATGAGAAGAGAGGAAATAGCCAGATTCCGGCTGCTTGTTTACTGACTTGTTGAAATGGAAAGAAAAGTCGAGGCTCTAAGGTTAGTAGAAGCAGACAAATCTTTTCCAGCCAGGCCCCAGAGGCACTGGACAATGAAATTTAAATGAAAAACCTTTAAAATTATCATGTCTGTGTAAGTTATGACATAGGATTAAAACAGAATGGGGCTTCAGGACTGAACGGCGTGAATGCTAGGCCAGTGTCACACTCACCAAATCCTTTCTGGGATTGATGTTGAGTTCTTCCTAACTCTACCAATGCTTCTGAGTAGCTGTGTCCAAAGCCCCAGAAAAGTGACTTGCAGGAAGAACTGTTCTGGCTCATGGTTTTAGAGATTGCAGCCTACAGTCCGTGGTGTGGCAGAGTATCATGGTGGTAGAGGTTATGGCAGAGGGGCTGTTTACCTCATGGTGGGCAGGAAACAGAGAGAGGGATACAGGAATGGGCCTGGGATGAAATGCATCCTCAAGGCACGTGCCTTCCCCGGCACAGGATCCTATTTTCTCCAGGGAGGTCCTACCTCCTAAGGTTTCTATAACCTCCCCAAGTGGCACTGCTGGCTGGGGACAAAGCAGTCAACACATGAGCTTGTGGGGGGCGTTTCATATGCAAGCCATAGCAATAACCATATACTTGACAAAGATGCTAAGTAAAGGACCACCTTGTGCCTTGAAATCACCTTCTGTTTTTGCCCCTATTCTAGCGTTAACTTTAAGTGAGTAGACTTCAGGAGACTGATTCGCAGACTGAGCCAGACTGACTCCTGGCTCAGTCAGTTTCCTGCTCTTGTGTATTTGCTAAGTCAATTAACCTCCCTGTGCCTAAATATCCTTATCTATAAAAAAGAAAAACAGCAGGTCTAGGGAGGTGGCTCAATGAGAAAAGCACTTGCTGTACAAATGTGTGAACTTGAGTTTGGATCCCAGGACCCACATCAAACCTGTAATCCCAATGGTCCTGTGGTGAGATGGGATGTGGACAGGAGAATCCTAGGAGCTCATGGGCCAGCTAGCCTGGTAAACACAGTGACCAACAGCAAAAGGACCTGTCTTAAACAAGGTGGAAGGTGAGGACCAACACCCAAAGCTGTTCAATGACCTCCTCATGGGCATCCATGATGGCACTTGTGCTCATAATCCATGCTCACATGTGCAGGACAGCACCCATGCACGTGCGCGTGCACATGTGTACACACACACACACACACACACACACACACACACACACAGAGAGAGAGAGAGAGAGAGAGAGAGAGAGAGAGAGAGAGAGAGAGGGAGAATATACATACAATCACATACACACAAAGATTTTTTAAAATGAGGACAACAATTCTGGAATGTTGTCTGGCAATTGAGTTAAGATAAAATATACAAACCCTGTCCAGCAGTACTTGCCTCATAGTTAGCAACTCTTAACACTGTGATCTGACAATGCTTGCTCTCTTTGCCAGGAATATAAATCATGTCACACTCTCCTTCTTTCTCAAGCAAACCTGCCGAGCACCTGCTGAACAACTGTTGTGTCTACACTATCTGTTTCCCTCCCCACTCAATATTCATATATCAGAGCTCTATCCTGCCCCTCTGGGTGGCTGTATTCGGAAACAAGGCCTTTATGGGGGTAACTAAGACTAGATGAGTTGATAAAGGTGGGGTCCCAGGCCACTGGACTTGCAAGAGGAAGATAGAAGAACACAAAGAAAAGGCCACCTTTGCTGTAAGAATACAAGATGGCCATCCACATGCACCTCAGGGACAAAGGTCTTGCCAGACACCAGTCTTGGCATCTGGACACTGAACTTTCAGCTTCCAGAACTAGGAGAAATAAATCTCCACTGGGTAAGCCTCCGGCCTGTGGTATTTCATTATGACAGTTGGAGCAGGTTCATACAGTAACCCTGTGAAAGTTCATAGTTTAAAAGTCCAAGGAGAGACAATGGGGCTGCACTGATAAGCAACCTCTGATGTCAGGCATGACATCACTTCCTCCGCTCACTGTGTGAAGGTCTGGTGCTTCCCACGGCAGGTGACTGTGGAGGCGAGTCATTTGTCACCATCTGTATACTGGGCACTGATGTCCTCTGGATTTACTCTGACTGTAAGGTTTTCCTGCAGAATTTGTTGAGGTCTCACTGAGCACAGTGGCACACACTTGAAATTCTTGCCTGAAGGCATTTGAGGGCTACATGGCAAGATTTTCTCCCTCTTTCTCTTTCTTTCTCAAAAATGGAAATTGGTTGAGGTCTCAGGCTGAATACTTGACACGTGAACATCCACAGCCTGTGAAGGGCCTCTTTCTTACACTTCCTCTGCTTTGGGGCTCCACGTGAAGTTTGTGAAAATCAAGCCCGATTGGCTCACAGACAGGACTCTGAGCTAATGTGACCCTCATGTCATCTGAAGCCCTCCCAAATCCTTCAGCTAGAATATGATGCTTGGAGTCCCTTTTATTGTCTGGAAATGCCCAAATCCCTCCCTCAGATTTCTTCCTTTTAAGCACCTTCTACACGGGTTGGCTTTGTTTGTAAGAGCTGCCTGCCAAAACCTGCATCCATTGCAAGCATTCACAAAAGAAACCATCCAGCCAAACTTTCAGGACTCCCTGGACATCTGGGGGCCTAGCAAGGTGAGGTCCAGCCTTTAATTTTTCTTTCCTAATCTGTACACTCTATTCTAGATTTTCTTGGGAACTCTCTTCGATAGGTCCTTGATCAGCTAGGTTCCTGCCTCCAAACCTGCAAACCCCCAAATGAGGTGCTTCACAGTCTTCCATTATCATGGCAATTTTGCTTATGTCTGTTCTGAAAACGCATTAGATACAATGTGAATATTTTAATAATGCTATATGGATAACATCCATAAAATGACTATATGATCATGTTGATTTACAGATAGGTATTCTTTTCTTTTCTTTTGAGACAGTTTCTTTAGCCCGGACTGGACTCAAATTCCGTATGAAGCCCCCTGAACAGCTCTGAACTCTTGATCCTCCTGCCTCCACCTCCCAGCTACTGAACGTGTGTCACCATGCCCAATTAATGAGGTGCTGGGAATTCAAACCCAGGACATGAGGCATGCCCAGCAAGCACTTTTCTAACTGAGCTATACACTTAGCCCTTTTGTGATTTATTTTTATTACACAAAGAATAGTAATGGCAATGGAGATTGAGAGCTTTTGAGGGGTTTTGTTCTCTTCCATTTCACCCACTAACTAGTGAAAAGTTGTTTTTAATTTACTGATGAATTTGCTTCCCAGGTGTAGGACTTTCAGAGTCTGGGGCTGTATAAATCAGTTAACTTAAAAAAAAAATCCTGGAACAATGGCTTTTCAAATCTTTATGAGGACTCTTTGAATACCATTGTTACAGAAAATTAGCGCGCGCGCATGTGTGTGTGTGTGTGTGTGTGTGTGTGTGTGTGTGTGTGTGTGTAGAGTAGAGTAGAGTAGAGAAGAGGAGAGAGAGAAGGAGGGGGAAAGAAAGGATGGAGAGATGAAGGGAGAGGGGAGGAGAGGAAGGGAGTGGGGAGGCAGAGAAAGAGGAGAGAGGTGGAGATACTATTCCACACGAAGTTTGGGGAAGTCAAAATCAGATTTGATTTCTAAGTAGTTTGATTCTAAATCACTAGCAGAGGAAACATGGAGCCTTAACGCAGCGTACCTCATCATGCAAATTGAGAACAGTTACTTTGGGATACCTGCGCAGGGAACAACTCTTTACACCCGCACCCGGCAAGTTCTGATCTAGCCGCATAGCGGTGCGCTTCAAACCGACTAGGTTGTGCTGTCAAGACTCAGTTCACCCGGGAGTCCCAGGGCGCCCAGGCCGGTTCCTTCCTCCAGGAGCCTTGCAAGGCCGGGCTGCCAAGCGGACTCCCCGCCCCTGCCGCCGTCCACGCCCCAGTCCCCGCCCGTCCCGTCGCGTCCTCGCGACCCTTCTTAAGCGTGGAGGGGCGAAGGCCGGGCCATGGTGATCCTGGCCACAGAGCTAGCCGCGCAACCCAGCGCCCCGGAGCTCGCGCCGCCGAGCGCCCAGGCTGTGGTTCCCGGGCGGGATCCCGGGTTCCCCGCCTTCCCCGGCACCCGGGCGGGCCATGCACCGGGGCTAGAGCGTAGCCGCCGGCATGCTGCTCCCGCTGCTGCTCGCCGCGCTCTGCCTCGCCGCCCGCCCGGCGCCCGCGCACGCCTGCCAGCTGCCCTCGGAGTGGCGACCCCTGAGCGAGGGCTGCCGCGCAGAGCTGGCCGAGACCATCGTGTATGCCAAGGTTCTGGCGCTGCACCCCGAGGTGCCGGGCCTCTACAACTACCTGCCTTGGCAGTACCAAGCTGGAGAGGGAGGGCTCTTCTATTCTGCCGAGGTGGAGATGCTGTGTGACCAGGCGTGGGGCAGCATGCTGGAGGTGCCCGCCGGCTCCCGGCTCAATCTTACGGGTCTGGGCTACTTCTCCTGTCACTCCCACACGGTGGTCCAGGACTACTCTTATTTCTTCTTTGTCAGGTGAGCCTGGCCCCTCTGCGGGCTACCTGCAGCAGGTCAGGAGCGCCGGGGGCCCGTGTTTTTTTTTTTTTTTTTTTTTTTT